CGCTTCCTGACTCATACAGTGAGTTCGTAAGAGAGTACTATATGATAGACCATGACGTGACCCTCATCGATCTCACCTATTTGCTTGTTGCTACTGAATTAGAAATGATTTGGCGCACTAGAGAAGCAAAGTTGATTGGTAGATTTGCCTTCCAAACTTCCATGGACATAAGAAATGGAAACAAAAGGCATGATATGGTCGAAAAGTTTGACCATAAGAGAAAAGCAAAGTCTGAGGTAGTTCTGTGTGCTATTCCAAAAGAGTCAATTTTCTTTTATTGCCAAGAGAATGGGCAATGGAGACGAAGCTCTCCTCTCTACCTGATATATCTAAGAGATGGGAGAGTCAAGATGTATGGCTCTACTTCAGGATCGAAGACAAGAGAGGAAGCTTAAAGGAAGAAGTGAGCTGAGTCTGATCGCGAAGAAATGGATTTAGATCGTATGATTCAATGATTGGATTCTTGGAGCTGCTACTTTTAGAGTTATGATAGATTGCTTAGGAATATGTAATAGTGTAGTTTTCATTTGATTTGCATTGTAAGGACAAACTTAATCCGCACCTATTATAAATACAATAAATTTTGGTTTTGTCTAATTTGTATATTTCCTTGAAATGGCATGAATGAAAATTGACGTTTGTGTATTTCTAGTTTTAGCAATGTTGAAATGGATGCGATTCTTAGTTATGTTATTTGTGGTAATGTCAAGAATTTACCAAATAGGGAAAGATTTTTGTCGGCCGAGTTTCAATTGGACAGAAACTTGGAATCATACAACTTGTATTGTATGATGAATGAGAACCTTCATATTTGGAAAATTAAGACTAATTCCTTGACAAAGAGTTAAGTGAAGGACTAGGAGCACTGGTACACCACATTGTGCATTGGTCAAGTCCACCACAAAGAACGATAAAATTATTCGTCATGATTTACTAAAAGTCTAGTAAATGTGGTTATGCTTACAAGATTAAGTGTGATTCTGAATCATTGAAAAGTTTCAATGTGTGGCAGAACGAATAAGAAGAATCAATTAGACAGAAAGATAAAAGTTTCTCCAATATAAGAAGAAGGGAGAGTACTTTTGTATCGTGTTTTATGATCATCTTGTTGATTATGAAACCATATCACAATTAACTCTCTAAGGACATCTTAGTGTACTAGTATGGCTAAGAAGAGGAATCGGAAATTGTTGAAATGGTTAAATCAAAAAGGATGAGTCATACTTCGTTCCAAAATCAAGTCTTAGAGTCATACTCCAAGATTGTGAATTGAGTGACACATCTTAAGAAGTTCTAACACACTCATCAAATGTGAAGTAGAAAATTTTTTTCTTACTCTTGCACGTTTGAAATTGGTAAATTGTGATGTCTTAGATAATATAAAGACCAACTAATACCAATTGTGTGTAGTGTTTTTCTTGATAAGAATCCGCACTAACTCTTGAATATTCGTTTGTCAAGAAATGTTTTCTTGACCAGAGAATCTTATATGTCAAGAGGTCAGTGGGAGTCTAAATGGTCTTTAAACGTTTCAAGAACTAATCAAGAGTAAACCTATTATTAAATACTAGCACACGACTTGAGGTTTGTAACCTATCGTGTTGAAATATTCTTGTTTCTGTGCCAATCCTGTTGAGATGATTATGCATATGAGTTCTACGAGTTCTCAATAGACTGCATAAGGCAAGCACCTTGTTCAACGAAAGCACATTGACTGGTATAGGTGAGCTGCTAAATAACTTGGAAGCAATGGTGGGACCCTTGATGGCAAGAAATCAAGAATGAACAAGTTCTGTCCATAAGAGTTTGGATTTATCACAAACATTATCTTACGATTATGGTTATGGCAAATTCACATAGATAGGATCAAATACACTATAAAATCTAAGTGTCATAAGGTTTCTCTCCTTCATGATGATAATTGCGAGGAAACACTTTCACTAAGAAATATTTTAAGAAGATAGCAATTGTGTAGATTGCATTCTATAATTCGATTATGATTACGATATCCCTCTTCATAGTTCGAATTGTGAGATTTGGCAATTAGTCTGAACATTTGGGACTTAGTAATATAAGTTTTGAATCAGAATAGACACACATGTGAGTTGTCTAAGAAAAGGTGTATGAGTTTGATATGCTCAAATAAAGGCTTATCAAAGCATATCGTATTAGGAAAATGAACTTTGGAGGTCAATAAGTGTTGTTTTCTAAGAAGTTTAGCTGATTTCTGAATACGTGTCAAAGCTAGTGGGAGCATAAATGTTATGCTGGAATGGATATAATCATCATGTTAGTGAGAGCATGATTATTATTTGAAGTGTTGCAAGCTAGCAATATTAATTATAGAAAACAAAAGGTTTCACTTTGCAAAGTTACAGGAATTGAAAAGTTGTTTTGCTATTATAAGGGAGAGAATGTTATACTTTGTTTCGAAATCTAAAAGCTTAGATCGAGAAATTTTAATCAAATTTAGTCAAGGATATATTAATTGCGTTCTCAAAATTTGATTATGATTACGACATCCCTCTTCATAGTTCGAATTGTGAGAACGTGGCAAATAGAAATATTATGACAAATGGCTGATAAAGTATCATGATTTTATGTAAGACATTATAAATCGTGTCTCATACGCGTATGGTATAGGATAGATTGCATATGCTGTAATATTTGACCGTTCTAAAATTTTTCAAATGCTGATGGCATTAAGAGGGAAAACTGACTAGAACCGGATTTGACTAAAATAATTAAACAACTGTCAAGGGAAATCTAAGGTTTGCCAAGGATTGGTCGCTTGTGAGCAACTGGAAGTATAGTAGTGGATGGACCATGTTGACGTTATTATGAATAGATAAGATTCTATTTAAAATGAGTTATCATATGGAAAATATGGAAATGTTTCCATATTGGGAGTTGGACATTAAGAATTTATGTCTAGATTAGAAACTTTTATGCAAGAAGGATGTTCAAAGGAATGTACTTTGAGTGTGAGACTGCACATCTATGGAATTGTCTTGTAACAATCTCCAATAGAGCATATTGTAATTTCATTGGCCGAGTCTTGGTGACTTTTGTGCCGTGACATTACGAAAGGACCGTTTCATAAAATGTTAGAAACTAACATATTTTAGTAGTGGCGAGAATTTTGTATTCTTACACTAATGATTAGGATTAAGAATTGTGAAATGAGAATCATTGGAAATGTGTTCAATTGATCTATTTCACAAAGTAAGGACCATAGGTAAACATAGTGTGCATGCTTGGAGCATGGGGCAACTGTTGCTATAATTCAAGTAAGAAGTTGATTACCCGAAACAACAAATAATGAGTAATCAATATGGTTATTAAATAAAAGTGTTTCATTTATACTTAAAAGTTTGGGGCCATATAGTATTAGTATTATTCTTGTGTTTCACTTTGCATGTTTAGACTTCCCGAATAATAAGATTATTCAAACCCTCCACAGTCGCTCATACTTTGGCAGTAGGTATGAAAGAAGACTATCATGAATCCATCTGTAGATTATCTAAAGTGTTTAGACATGGTACAAGTTTGCTGCAGAGTGCATGAGTGCTGCTATAAGATTAGAGTATTGGATTAAACCCACGCTCACTTGGATCGCTTCATGGATTTTATCACGAGTGATTGGTGAGATGATACTATCTTATATTCTTGAAACTGAGATGTATGAGTTGTATTCTGCAAGTCGGTTGCACATTGATAATATGTAAATGCACCAGTAAATTGGTGTTATAAAACATATTGTTGTGTGTGATTTGATGAGTAGATACAAGCGAGCATTGGAGTCAAAGTTTATCCATTCCTTTTACCCAAAGTGGGATAAAAGTGATATATGTGGGCCCCTCGATGATTTAGTGATGACACCCTAAGTGCTTGGCTAAGCCAGGACTGGGTTGATGTGTTCAATTGTAGTCTGTTGTCAGTCGTCATAAATCGGAAATCGGGAAACAACACATAGACTGAGAGAATGATTATAATCCATGTCTCATGTCTACACGATATCTAGAATAGAGGAATATATGATCCCTTATCTAAAGGACACGTTTCGGATATGATCATAGTTTAACAGCGGCTTTTGAAAGCTATAATTTTTTATCAGGTTTCGAAGACATACGTAATATAGTTATTAGACTTATCCAAGTGGGAGATTGTTGGATTAGGTGTCTAAGCCTATAACTATTTTGGTATGTACTTGACCCGATTGTGAGCATGGTCCTTTTGGGTTGCCTTCACTAAAGCAACAGAAAGGATGAATTAAGGAGAAAAAAGGATTGATTATGATTTATTGATATATCATACGAATAATATATTAAAAGACAAATCATATTGTTTAATTAATATTAGTCAATAATTAATAAAAATTAATTTTGTGGCTAAAAGACATTAATTAAATAAAGGGGACTAGAAATGTTAATTGTGTGATAGTTGAATATTGGGCTAATGGACTCCATAGAAGTTAGAGTGGACGAAGTCTATGGGGAAACCCATTAGAATTCGCCCACGACTTCTAAGCAGGGAGTCCATGGGCTGCTTAGGGCCTAAGCAGTCAGATTAGGGTTTCCTGGTTGAAAACCCTAATATCCTAAGTATAAAAGGAACCATTGGCAAGCCAAAAACATCCCTAACCTTCTAAGAGAAACCCTAGGACGTTTTGGTTCCTCATCCCTCTCTCCTTGTTCTTCTTGTTTCATATGGTGTTTGTGACTCCATTAGAGGTGCAACATTTGAGGCACTAAGCTTTCAAAAGTCAATTACAAGAAGGATTCAGATTGTTATTGCAATATAACAATCGAGGTAAGATGTAAACTCTATTATTTTGTCAATTTTGATTATTCTATGTTAGAATTAGGGTTCTTAAGTCTTGGATGAATTACATATACAATAGAGAACTCTAGATCCAAGCTTTAGGGTTTGTATGAGCACATAGGATGTTCTTTTGTATTAAACCCATCAATATGCAATGTAGTCACAGGAGCAATTTATTAAAGAATCATGAATTTCATACCACTAAACTTAGATACCACAGTCTTGGTCTTCGTAATAGTAGTAGGAGGGACTTCGACTACTTTTCTCTTGAGAGTTGTTGATACTGATCCTTCCACAGCCAGTGAAATTTCACTTGAGGGTAAGTATACAACAACAACAACACAGGTGTCAATATTTGGTTTGGGAAGATCATTGGTGAGAGCAAGATATTGCTTTAAAACCTTTGAGTTTCTTGGAATAAGCCTTAACATGGTGATTGGAAGATGAAACTTATCGACTGGTGGCTTGTCATTTGGGGTAAAACGCTTCATTGGAGTTTCCAAGGTGCATTCTTCTTCGTCTGTTTGATTTACATCCATACACAACCATCTGATACAGAGGGAAAAAAACCTAGCACTTAGAATTACCTTTTCTTCCTTCTTGATTAATAACTTGAAATCATCCCATAAAATAGTGCCAACTTCAACCGTCTTTTCATAGAATAAACCCCACAATACCTTCAACCAAGAACATTTATTCGATTTCTTTCCCCTGTTTTTCCTGACAGACACCTCAAAATGAGGTGAATATTAAAGTGCCAAATAACAGAAAATCCCGCCTTCTTTCAAATTTTAGGGTTAGGGTTGTTATCACTGTAACCCATATGTTTCGTCATCACCACAAGCTGATAATCGGTAGGATTTTCATATATAGGATTAGGGGTTTGAAGAAGGAACCAATACAGCTGAGAAACATCTTCCAATCCAAAGTAATTGAAGTTTCATCAACAATAGAGACTATAATACAATCTTCATCAAAAAGTACTATAGCAGTTGAAAATTCCTGGTAGAGAAACCTCAACGGGAAACTGTCTATGGTGCGAGAGAACGGGATGAAAAGTTGATCCTCCTTATTATCTCAATAATTATAGGTACCTTCTAATCATAATGAGATAAATCAAAATCTACAACATAATTGCAGGATTCAATCTTATAATCATCCGATTTGAATGTTAGAGGAAGATATAGCCTTTGAAGATGTAGACGGTTTCAACATTATGGAATGCTTTGAAAGAGAGTTACACAAATAACATAAATCTATGGCTCGTAATATATAAAGTAGATCAAACGAAAATTTTGGACATGTAAATATTAATAAGGAGAGTGACACATCTACTTAAGAATGATACACCATTGATCATCCAATCACGCCGGGTATAAAATCTTAGGGTTCGTTCAAAGTGTATATGTTTATAATCCATGACTATTAATTGACAGAAGTCAATACATAGTCATTACAATTACTTCCCCCAATTGAAATAACTGCGGATTTAGACAGTTGTGTTCATCATTCCTATAAAAAACAAAAAACAAAAACATAAAAAAAAAAAGAACAAGTATTTACTACTAAACATTTTATAAAACTTTAGGCTATTTCACCTACATATGCAATCATAATGATTAAATATTTCATATTCAATTCCTTATTCTCTAATAAATAAAAAATAGTGACAATCATTTTCTAACAACTACACAACAAAAATATATATATATATATATATATATATATATATATATATATATATATATATATATATATATATATATATATATATATTTCATTTACATCATCTAAAAAATCTAAGATTCAGTGTCTAATAACTACTTCACCAATCAATTGCCTATGCATCACCAGAATCAATACAAAGTATATATTTACATAAACAGATAATGAAGCATAATCTTTAGTAAAAAAAAAAAAAATAACTACCCCTTCTTCATCTGTATATGTTCCACATAACAAATTTCACCAAATCGAAAAAATGTTTTTTCCATGTCAAAAATATTTAAAATTACAATTCACTACACTTATAAATAGAAAATGAATCATAAACTTAATGACAACAAACCTCACAATTGATATCTCAAAGCATTGGAGTTTCATTTGGCTTAACAATCACCAAATCATTCTCAATTCTATAAACATCAACCAAACAGAACATAAATTAACATAAAAAAAATACAATCCATTAAAAAGGATTAAAATTACTATAAGTATTTGCTTATTATCTAATATTGAATTAACATGTGCCTCTACTTCACAACTCAATTGTTGATCCAACCTATATTCATTACCCTTAACAATTGCAAAATCTGCAGCAAATAGGTACAAAAAATGACATCAATAGAACACTGACTCAACATAACATTTATAATCGGTATAAAAATATGTACAATATTCCGTTGTTAAATTAAAATTGATTATCCTAAAAGTATGAACATTAATATTATAATAAGACCTCTTAATATTGTAACTAAAGAAATGTGTGAACAAAGTACGTATCCATAACATATTAAATCACAAAACTAAAACATTGTCATTGCAAAAAGCTAGTAACTTCAAAAATAAAAGTGACATGAACTACTTTAAAGGAAATTCAACAACAAATGCAAGAATCCGTAAAAGATATACCAAAATACACACCCATGCTGAAAAATAAAGAAAACAATAATCATTAATATATAGATCACAAAAAAAATATATATACAATTTAACAATTTTAATTGCCATTCATGGACATAGGCATTAACATTCGATTCTACCTGCATATACTTAATTCTATTCATGCAGTGGATGACAATTCGAGAAACTTTTTATAATAACAAGTAATGCTGAAGAGAAATCACTAACAACAAACTCCTCATTGAAGTTTTGCATCACAAATTTAATTAGAATAAAACATATAAATAACATCATATACAAGTAGATATTCTATGTACTAACCACATCTTCATCTAAATCACCGATAAGTTCACCAATAATTTGCCCATGCAACACTATAATCAATACAAACACAATATATCCATTTACATAAACAGTTAATCAAACATAAACTATAGTAAAATAATAGGTATCCCTTCTTCCACTAAATTTGACCATCTACTACATTTTTCACATACCAAATTTCAGCATACTCGGAAGATTTTTTATTTCCCTAAAAAAAATCAGATTTAAATTAAATACTCTTATAAATACAAAATAAACGTAACGACAACACCCCTCACAGTTTATTTATGGAATAAGTGGATTTTCATTTGGCTTAATAATTACCAAATCATTCTCAAATACATAAACCTCACTCATACAAAACACAAATCAACATAAAAACATATATACAATCCATTATAAAGCACGATTAAAATCAGTATAAGTCTTTATATTTGATCTAACGTTTAAATGAAAAGGTGCTTGTACGTCACAAATCAATTGTTGATCCACACTACATTTAATAACCTTAACAATTGCAAAATCCCCACCCAATCTATACACAAAACGACATGATAAAAACCACCGAGTCAATAGAACAATAATAGTAAGTATAAAATTGTGTACCTATTTTACATTGTTAAAAGAACAATATTCATGCAAAGAAAGAATTGTTCAACACTGCCAAGCTAAAGTGCAAGAACACATCGTAAATAGACAAACGAAGTAGCTGTTCAACCTAAAAGTCAGGAAGAACGTACGAGGTTAAATAATTAGTTGACATTGGTAACCGATTTCTAAACACTGACAAACTTATCGATCCTGATAGAAAATAAGCAACGTGTTACCAATTGTCATAGAGGTTGAAGATGGAAGGATGTTGGGAAGGAGTTTAAGTGCTTGAGTGGACGTAAAAAGAGGTTAAAGAAGGAACGTGGAGAAACAGTTGAAATGCAGATACAAAATATATATGAACCCTCTCAACTGTCGATAATATTGATCTATTTGATGTTGGTTGGGTTTAACGGATAAAATGTTTGTAAAATACGCTAAGGATGAAAAAAAAACGTAAAAGGCTCACATTATATATATATATATATATATATATATATATATATATAATATATATATATATTATATATATATATTATATATATATATATATATATATATATATTGTCGGTGATTTTATATTACTAATAATACTTAAGTTTAAGGAGGTTAATTTGTTGATCAATGTCACTTTAACAAATATTGAACAAATTGATATGGTGCGAAGTGCATATTTGTTTAATTTTATCTTTGTTCAAAGTATACTTCTATTTAGGAAAGAAGCCCCTAAACCAACGGGGTCTGGGGCAACGCCCCTGGGAGTGGGGTTTAAGGGATGGCAACCCCTGGATGGGATCGATATTCTAGACCCAAATTTAAGTTGGTTTATGATCATTTTTGGTCAGTTTTAGAAAATAAAACTATAATGTGGCAGTTTTAAGACATAAAGTTTTTTTTTGGTTATATGATCATTTTCGAAATCTGTTTTTGTTACTCTTCTTCTACATAACATCTTGAACATTCTCTCTTCTGTTTCTCTCAATTTTCTGAGTATTATCCGATTAAAGATTAGGAGTACCACCCACATACTTTAATCAGAAAGTGTTATACACGATTCTAAGAATTTCCACCCCTTTCTATACCCTAAATTTTCTAACATATAATATATATATATATATATA